GCTTTCCTCAGTCTTTCTGTGCTTTCCTCAGTCTTTCTGTGCTTTCCTCAGTCTTTCTGTGCTTTCCTCAGTCTTTCTGTGCTTTCCTCAGTCTCAGCCCTTCTACTGAAACTCGTGGAACTCCATGCATCTGTGGTACAGTCTTTGGCATCTATGAAACTGCAGCTCACTTCAAAGGAATATATATTCTGTTTCTCCTTGATTCCTAGTAGAATAACTTTCTTTTATATGTTTAGATGATTGCTTTCATATGTATTACTAGGAAATCAAGAGCTGGGAGATGCAAGCCAGATAGGGGAATTATCCAGCTTGGAAGTACTTTTTGAGGAGGAGGAGGAGGAGAAAGGAAATGAGGCTGCTTTTTCAGCAGCATCAGTTGCCTCAACCCAATAGCTGCTACTAGTGCAAGTGAGGATGCTGCAGCTTAGGCCTGGAGTTAAGGGCAGGGTAGGTGTCCAGAGCAGCCTGAACTTAGACTGGCTTAACCCGCCCCTGAAGCGCAGCCTCGACCTGGGCGCCATGCGTGTGGTTCGTGGCCTGGCCAGCTGCTCCAGGAAAAGGACCTTGTCACTAGTCTTACTTTTCAGACCAACACAAAAGTACAGTGCAAGAAGATGCCAACCCTGCTCGGCTCCTCCAACCCCATTTTGGATTGTAATATTTTGTTATAATTTCTCCAAGCTTTGTGCTGATGCAGGCAAGACGTTGTGTAGTTTGCAGCGCGCTATAACACATGCCTGCTGAGTTGGTACAACCGGTTCATGCTAATTGTAAGYTATTACTCTGATTTAATTACTGCTGTCAATGAGAGAAATAAATAGGGAAAAAAATCAATAAAACTTCATTTTCCATGTGCGCTTTTTATCTCCTCTGCTCTTAAGCTTTACGGGATTATTATTGTTTCTGTAGGCTAAACCAGGCCAAATAGCTCAAGTTAAACCTATTAGAAAGCTGGCATGGATTTAAAGGCTCAGAACCATCTGGGAATGGGATCACACGTAGTGGTTCTTAATATAGACAGCTCTGTCATTACATATCTCTTGGAGAACCAATTAACTTGCACTGACCTAAAGCAGTGTTGTGACACACTTGCATATGAAAAAGGTTAAGAATACTGTGGTGCAGAAATAACTTTTTTCCTTTTTTTGTGTTTTAATTTATTTATTTTTATTTCAAGGATAGAGATACAAGGTTCCTAAGCTTTTTAATGGCATTAGTATAAGACTATTTGAAAGAAAATTGAAGTTCTTGCGGCTTTTTCTTCTACCTTTGCCTAGCGCTGTACTTTACACATGGCTGTTCTTTCTTTCTTTTAATTAGATTATAAATTTCTTGGCATAAAGTGTCGTATAGGTTGGTACAATCACTTCCCAAAGTTGACTAAATCTCTTACTGCAGCTGCAGTATAAATAATAAAATAAAGTATGTATGGAAATGACTAATGCTCCCATACTGGATCTAAGTATCACGTTAAGATTTAGCTTTATTACTCTGTATGTAGGCTAAAATTTTCAAAGATGAGTTTTTCAGGAGAAACCAAATTGTAAGTTCTTTTTTTCCATAAAAGTTGGGGATTAAAAAAAAACACATCCTTTTTAGAGAATTTAAATATTGAGTATCTTAAGAAAATATGATATTGCATATGTAATCTACTTGTTCAATTTATCAGGAAGAAATAAGCTTTTTGGAAGAAATATCTAGAGCAAAGTTCATTTCTGTGGTACTTGTAGACATTTTTGAATTACAGACCATTGATTTTATACTCCTAGATATTGAATGGTTGAGATAACTTTGCAAAAGTAATAACTTTTTCTTCACAGCTTTTTTTTTTTAAATTTGCGTATACAGGAATCAAACATAAGATACTACCGCATTTTCCCATTGTAGAGAAAAAATACTGCATTTTTATTTAGCGTTGTGCTCTAACGTGGTCTAGACATTACCAGATTCTTTTATTTCTGTTGATTATGCAGTGGAAGAATCTGACATCATTGATCTTGAAAAACGATATTGGCTGCTAAAAGCTCAATCAAGAACTGGACGTTTTGATTTAGAAACATTTGCCCCCTTAGTTTCCCCTCCTATTCATCCATCTCTGAGTGAAGGTATGAAACTTTGCTGGAATGTTTGATAGAGTGATATTAGTGTGGGCTTAAATACTTGATATCTAATAAGACATTAGTTTTTGWATTTTAAAAGTGGGCTTGTTTCCTTTAAAATATATTTTCAGCTTAAATTAAGGAGATGGATTTGTCTGAGTTTTAAATGTTTGAAAATAACAGGTTTGTGTCATGAGGTTATCCAGTGTATTGTAGTGGTCAACCAAAAAAAGAAACTCAGTATTTCATCTGCAGCAGATGCAAACTGTTAGAAAAATAATTTTTTTTACTTAAATTGAATTTGTGATATATCTCCATAAATGTGCTTCTAAATGCATTGTATCTACTTAGTAATAAAAATGTACCCACTAGCTCTGGGGGAACTTGGATGGTTTCTACTCATGGCCGATGTCTCCTGCGGCTGCAGAAATTGGGTTATTGACACTTAAAAAAGTACCGTACATGGTTCAAAAGTGCTCTGTGTGCTCAGTGAGTAAAATTCTTACACGAGTGTGGCTGAAACTCCACACTCTTTTAGGGTCAAAGATTGCAAAGGCATTCAGTGATATCTGTAGTCTAAAGTTATTTAGGAAAAGCCATCTGAGCACCTTTACTCCTTTGGTCCTTTAGCTCCTTGGCAAATACTCATCCTAATTGTRTTGCCTGAGAGGCACATTGCTAAGAATGTTCTTAGCGCTTCACTGTCCTCTGTTACACTTATCAGTGGTTGGTTATCATCGTAAGTTAAGTTTGTACTTTTCCTTGAAAAACTAAACTCTAACACTTCATATAAGTAAATGCTCGGTATGATTGTCAGCTGCTCTGGCCAGACTCCGTAACAGGAGATGCTTCTGTGGTTTGCAGGTCTGTTTAATGCCTTTGATGAAAATCGGGACAATCACATAGATTTCAAAGAAATTTCTTGTGGGCTCTCGGCATGTTGCAGGGGACCCTTGGCAGAAAGACAAAAATGTAAGTGTGCAAAATATTAACTATTAATTAAAAGAAAAGAAACTTCTTAAGTTCAAATAATTAAGTTTGGTTGTTTGCACATTTTAGAATTTGTTTCCACAGAACAAATGTAGATCTGTGGGAGGTGACAGGCTTAAGAAGTTGAATCTAGTTGAAATGTGAAGGTGTTCTTTTATAAAACATGATTAAGCCTAATTCAGCATATTTTTCTTCATGACTTCATAAAACTAACAAACTTTTCTGGAAAACAGCTTGTCATTTCAGAAGTTTTCTTGCAGTGTTAAGCCATTCTGCTGCAGAGGTTTATTTCAACACACAAAGTGGAAAGTGCAAATGTTAGTCTGTTCATTATGTATGATACAAAGCAAATCTACTTGATTGTCTTGTGGTAAATAGTATGTTTTATCTTGTTTACTATCCATTTTTCAGCTGGTTCCTTGCAAGGTTCCTRTGTTTTGAAGTACCTTCTTTCTGTACTTTTTTTCCAGCTTTGTATTATTGAAACTTAAATGCTACCATTCATTGGCAATTTCTGGATGCACATGTGTTTCTTGCTAGGTTACATCAGAAAACACAGTATACAAAATTGCAGGAATCTAGATTTCAGTTTATTAAACACAGCTGCTCCATTTCCTCACTATCATACATACATCCGGCCTCATCAAAACTGTCAGCACTAAATCATGTTCTTATGACTCTGTAGACTTTCTTTCTACAAGAGAAACCATAAAATGTAGTTGCTGAATAGTTCTAACGTACAAAAGCAATATTCTTTTTTTCTCAGTTTGCTTCAAGGTTTTTGACATTGACCGGGATGGTGTGTTGTCTCGCACGGAACTTAAGGAAATGGTGGTTGCACTTTTAGAAGTCTGGAAAGATAACCGTACTGATAAAATACCTGTAAGTCCTATCTGGCATTTTAGTCATTCGCTCTTGTTTTCTAAAGTCATCCTTTGAAGTTAGGAAATTAGAARCTGATTTCAGGTTTCAGATGTGAATGTTGATTGAAGGTGGTTTCAGTGAAATACATACTGTTTTGAGCTATTGTAACTGGATASTGTTAATTGTAACTTACCTTTCATAACATAGCACTACCATTAACCAAAGGAGAATTACTTGAATACAGTATTTTTTTTGTTCCTTGTGATATAAAGAAATCTTGGGTAAAAAATATAACTGCCTAGAATCGTTCAGCCAGTTTAGTAGTGTGTAGTGCTATTCTGTATCAGCAGCGTTTCCTGCAGTTGTTTTTCTTTATTCTGAACACATATATAGCTCTGAAGTGTTTTTTAAGCATTTGTTTTTGATCCTGATTTTGCTCCTTTTTTTTTCCCCCCCCCCATAGGAATTGGACATGGATTTGTCTGAAATTGTAGACAATATTTTGAATATGCATGATACCACAAAGGTAAGAATTTGCTTTTCCATTCTTGTCATCATTCTATCYTTGTGTATTCAATTTAATTTGAGAAGGAGGCAAAAATCTTGCATTTCCTTAGAGCAGAGATGTGTCAATAAAAGMATCTTTTTGGAATAATGTCAGTTTTCCATTAAAATTTTCTGTGTTGTTCTGTTAGAAGAATGTGAGTTTTATAAGTCATTTTTATATATGAAATTAAACCAAAAATACATAACCAGAGGAAATATATTTGAACCATATGCTGTTTACTATACTTTACTATGCACAATTAATACCGCTTTTAGACTAACACTATTATCAAAGCAGTTGGATCAAGCTTTGTTATAAGTGTGGAAGTTGTTAATTTTTTGACACATTAAATAGCTTTTTAATAGAAATAGATAAACGGTTTAATGCTTTTTTTTCTTTCTTTTCCTGTCTTCCCTTTAAGATTGGACATCTAACTCTGGAAGACTACCAGATATGGAGTGTGAAGAGTGCTCTTGCTAATGAATTTTTAAATCTACTTTTTCAGGTATAGTTAGTAAAAATTTAAACTTGAAAATTATGGTAATTGACTCATCCTACCATGGAATACAGTGTCAATACTTGTGCCAAGAGGCTTCCTTTTGTCTGTTGCAATAAACTCTGTGTTTTTGAAAGTGCGTATTACCTTGGCTGATTAAAGCTTTGCTTGCTCATTTTTCTTTTCAGTGTATGGAGATCCATAAAGCATTATCTGTTAAAATGAATGTAGTGTAGTGCTTCTAAAATGAAAGGATATTTCAAATATAACAGCAGGTGTTTTTTCCATTAGGAAGAGGCTGTGTTCCTTAAAAGGTTCCTCCAGGTCTTTCCAAAGAAAGTGACATAGGAAATAGAGACGTACTGCTAAGGCTTTAGCACTTTCCCTSTGTGTTTTCTGCAAGGGCTGCCTAAGGAACCTTCCATTGCTTTCTAAATGGAGCAGCCCGTTTAAGCTATGATATCATTTAACTATCATGTTGCAGAAGCGGTCCTGCACATTAATCCCCATCTTTTTAGTTCAGCCTGAATTGGATTTTTTAAAAATCCTTAAAACAATCGTATTTTAGTGCTTGGCTCACTTTGTGTAGCAAGTAAACCACTAAGAGTATTTTGATTCAGTGTTTTTTTTTTCCTTGTATTTATTCCTTGCCAGTTCTGCCTAGAACTCGATACYTTCCAAATAAATAATAATAATTCTAATGCAGTCTTGAAGATTTGCTGTAATCTAGTATTCACCTCCAGCCTTCTGTGACTGTCTCAGCTTTTCAGTGTGGGTGGGGAAGAACCAGTGGGCTTCCTTTTAATCTTATCAGTGAAGCTTGCAAAGTCAAGTTTTAGTAGGAAAATACTTACTCTGAGAGGRGATGTGTGGAATTTCAAAAAACAGTAAATTATTATTGCCAGAGCCTGCCTGAGTAGCATATTGTGCTTTCACCTGTTTATAATCCTATACTACTCTTCATACTGTAAGAAAAGAAATACTTAAGGTAGACTGTCAGGAATATTGTCAGCTATACTACAGTTAAAGAGAATAAAATTAGGAAGTTCTGTTTCTTTTTTAACACTAATTGCATCAGTTTTTATTCACATTTATGTAACCTTCTTAAGAAAGGCTGCRTTGGTCATTGCACTGTATATTGTCAAACATCCCAGCTTAACTTCAAGTTGATTAATAAATATCTGCATATTGAGGGTAGAGCAAATGAACATTTGATACGTTTGTCTTAATGACAATCAGTTGCTGCTGTTCCACATTGCCTGTTGATTCATCTGCAGTATTTTTTCTCCTGACAGTAGATAAGTTTTCATTTTAGATTTCTATTTTTATTTTCCTTTGATATCTTTACCTTCTGAGACGCTCTTGTCTTGTGCTGCCGACTCAGCAGCATACTGGCACAGGACAAAGTCTGCCATTGATTTGTCTGGGAATTTATTTGAGCTGTCATGAGGTTCTCTGTCTCATCTGCAGCCAGAAAAGCTAAGTGGTGTTAGTAAAGCACATTGGAAAGCTTTTCCACAAATTGCTTTGGTTGTAGCCAGGGCAGTTTATCTGAAGAAGCTAAAGCCAGCACCATGTAACATCAGTCTAAAAAGAAACATCCCAGCCAGCTGTGTTGTGTGTGCTGGAAAATCTGTTGCTTTCCAGCAGCTAATGGCCTTTGCTTTATTCACATGGTGGAATGGTCTCACACTACAATATAAACTTAAATAAGATATCTCACCAGTCATTAGAAACCTCCAGCTGAGATGCAAATTGATAGCCTCGGAAAAGACATAAGGAAAAGACTATAAATCATGGTATGGGTAGCAACTYATCTGAAAACTGTTTTGGAGATGAGGCAGCTGATCTTCCTCCCTGCACAGAGAACAAGGCCCCCCGTAGGGCCCGTTTCCCTCTGCTCATCGGTCGGTGCCACGTGCCGGGTGCCTGTGGGATGCACCGAGGGGACCTTGGCTTGACTGCAACCAAGGGCAGGACAACCTTTTCCAGATAGAAAGGAGCAAAAGGAGGGTCCTYGGGGACTGCTCTCCTGTGCTAAGAACAGAGGCCAAGCCAATTAGGGCATCTGTTCTAGGAGACGATGCCTTTTTCTTCTGCACTGAATAAAAAATAAAGTCAAGGGAAGGACATTTTGACTTTGAAAAGCTTTCTGTGGTTTTGAGAGCAGTTTCCCTGGTGACTGGTTGGTTGGTCTCATTTGAACTTCTCYTTCAGTCTTTCCACATGCTGTTCCTCTTTTCAGTCCTTTATACGGCCACTTCTCTTTAGTGTTCCCGGTTTACCCATTTTCCCCTTCCTCCCCGTTCTTTGTTTTAACACATACCTTGCACGCCTTTAGTGTCCCTGTTCTGCTCTTCTTCTCCCCTAGGCATGGGCAGTTGCTTTTACCCTTTTGCACTTCAGATCTGTTTTGGATATTGTAGTCTTTCATACTGTGTGCTTTCCTTAGGACACGAAGTAAAGAAAATTCATTTTAGATTCACTGTGATTTGTCTTGGTCCATTTGACATTCTTGATACCTTTGTCTAAACAGTGGGAGCAAGTTGTGAACCAGATAGCTTAAAAATATTTCTTTTAGAGCAATTTGTTTGATTTAATAATCTTGCTACATAGTTGAAGAGTTTTATGAAAAGCCTCTTTTTTTTTTCTGATTTGTCTGATGCTTGTTTGCATAGCAGCAACATTTGTGCAATAAAAATTGCCTTTCTCTTTACAGGTATGTCATATAGTTTTGGGGCTACGACCTGCCACTCCAGAAGAGGAAGGACAGATTATTAGGTGTGTGTTTTCCTCTGAATCCTGTATAGACTTCAAAAGCACCTCCCATTATTTTCAGAAGAAGAATGCAAATTGCAAAACTTGCAACTAATACCTAAATCATGGTGTTCACTCTTTCTGTGTAGAGGCTGGTTAGAAAGGGAAAGCAGATACGGCCTTCAGCCAGGGCACAACTGGTTTCTTATTGCAATGCCATGGTGGCAACAGTGGAAGGAATACGTCAAATATGTAAGTATAATGGTAATGTATACTGAATAAGTGATGTATTTGTGTTTGGAAAAAAAAAAAAAAGAGTGGAGAATAAGTGACTGCTTAACTAGTAATGCTTGAAATTAAGCATCTTCTGTCTCTTAGTGAAAAAATTGTTTTGCTGAATCATTGTCACACAGAGAGCTTTTCACTATTATTTCGTTAATCTGTCACCTTTTCATCGGTTTCCTTTCATCAGCCTCTTCTGATCTTAACTGTTTCTGTGGCTGGTGAAAACAAAGTTAGGGAAAACTAAAATGTTGTAGGTTTGAGAGCAGAGTGTTTTTTGTTATTGCGCATGCTGTTCTCATTTAGCAATGTGAAATTCAACAAGGACAATTGTGTTAAGTCTGTGATTGTATCTGTTAAAATAATTGCCTTTTTAGATATTTAGAAAGAGCAAAAATAATGGTATTTCACAATTTTGACATTATGCATAAGAATGCATTCCACTGGTTTAAGAATCTTCACTTGTTTCTTTCTGTAGATYGTTAGTAAGCAGGTGTAGAAAAGACATTTTTCTACAAAGTACGTAATAGCATATTATGTACTTCGCATACATCGCATAGCTGTGAATTCCGGTGATCCATTTGGCCTGTGTTAAGTGTCTTGATTTGTAACTGACTTTTTTTCTCATGTGTCAATTTTAGGATGCCAGCCCTGTTGTGATAGAGCCTTCTTCTGTCTTGAGTGGAGGTAAGAATTCACTCATAGCTGCTGCAGCCAGTACTTCAGAACAGGGAGAAGACAAAATGGGAGGTCTTAATTACTGCAGTACCCCAGAAGAAAAGTTTTCAGATAATATTTCTACCGCATCAGAAGCCTCAGAGACTACTAGCAGCAGTAAGCATAAAAATCTTATTTCCTTGGAGGTTTAACGTAGAACAGATTTTAGAGAACTAAATACTGCATGGAGTCCTCCAGACTAATGAAGTTTAACTTGTAGAAGTGACCTACATATAAATTTTGGTTAGTTAGGCTGTGGTGGATAAACAAGAACACTCCTTTAAATGAACTAGTTCACATTCTCTGATATGATTTATTTCCAGAACAGAGAGGAAGCAAGTTTTAAATTGTGTTTTTGCATATAAAAGTTTCAAAGGTTGTATTTGGTGATATTTAAAGATCCATGCAATTGTATGTTAAACATGTATTTGCATATACAAGCCTAGTTATGCTGTATTCAAACTAGTATTTGTTAGCATCTGCTTTCGTATATAGGTCTCMTATCCATTTCTGCATTTTTTTTCTGAGTACAAAGCTATGTGTTACTCTTCAATGTGGAATAGTTGCATGTTTTACTGATTCTTTAAGGTTTCGAAACATCTTCAATGATCTTAAACTGTTCTAGCATCCTTCTACCCCCACCTACTTTTTTTTTTTTGTTGGTTTTTTTTTTTTTTTTTTTTGGAGTTATTGCTTATGTTTCATGAACTCAAAGTATCTATTGTTTTATTCCAGATGCTCTTAACCCTGGCACACCAGGCACTGATACATGTTTTGCTAGGCAGCATAATACTTCGGACAATAATAACCAGTGTTTGCTTGGAAACAATGGGAATAGTTTGTTACAATTTAATCCTCAGAAACCAGGAGCTATTGATAATCAGCCCCTGGTAACACAAGAACCAGTCAAGGTAAATTTAACTGATTCATGTTAATATGGAAATTTTTTTTAGTATGTTTTTCATCTGAATATAATAGCATACTGCTGTTGTATAAAACCCAGACACCTGGCTGCATAGTAACACCAAGCTGATAGTTTTTGCAGTATTCCTGTGGAGGGGGGAAAAAAAAAAAAACATGAAATACAGACCAGTGCCATCAATAATGAGTAGGATTTTTCTGTGCTGTATCGCAAAATTGTCAGAGTAGGTGATGCACAGGAACATAATAGGAATTTTGTATTTGACAGTCTTTCAGAGAAATAGTAAATAGTAAAACTCAAGCATTAATTATTGTTACATTTAAATGCCATCTTTCACTGTGAAAAGCAGTTTATAATTGCTACTTAAAAGTGTTTTAAACGTGTTTTATATTCATAAAATAAAATTGTGGCAGCTGTATACTATTTCCTACATTTGAGATTTAACAGAATCCCTTTTTGTTTAAAGGCTGCATCATTAACAATGGAGGGTGGAAGATTAAAGCGATCTCCACAGCTCGTTGAAGGAAAGGACTACGTAATGGTACCAGAACCAGTTTGGAGAGCTCTGTATCATTGGTATGGCGCAAATCTGTCCTTGCCTAGGCCGGTAAGTTGTTAATATAGACGCGGTTTACTTTGCATAACTGCTGAAATAATGTATACGAACTATTGTGTCTGAGCAGTGTTCGTGTAAAAAAGATACTTGTATGGAAAAGAAATTTGAATAAATCAAAAGCTGGATTTTGTGACCAAGTATTTGAAAAATTCCTGACCCTTTTTGTATCCCTTAGGGTGCTGGCTAGATACCAGCACTGGGTGTGGATCACTACCTAAAACCTTTTCTTTTTCCTCCTCTTCCSCCTTGCCCAAATGAGCTCCTTATTTGGATACTCTCTCTTCAAGYGATKGTCCGTTCTGTATGTCCTTTCTCTGATGTGCCTCACACTGTTGAAGAAACTTTCAGCCAGTGACATTTCTTAGCCTTGTACTTGCATTTCCTGCGTCTCCAAAGGAAAAAATACCCTTGTCTCTGAGTAGTATGCGACTGTGCCAGATAAATGCTGGCTGAACTAGCAGCCCTGAAATTGAAGTAACATGACTGAAGATACAAGGAATTTCTCTCCTGTGAGGGACTGCATTGCTCAAACAAAAGATACCGTCAGTGAAATGGCCTGAATGCTCCTTGTAGAATTTCTGCTTTGATTTGTGATGCTCTGCCGAAGTTGACCAAGATTTCTCTGAGACCTGGCCAGACAAAGTCCAGACTTGAGTGTTACTTAAGAAACCTGTTATTCTTGCCAGACATGTCTGGAGATTCCTGAATTGCTTTGGATAGCCCAAACATTTTTCAATACCATTAGGATTCTCAGGTCATAATGGTACTAAAAAGTCGCTTGCCAATTTCTGCTCACTTTCCTCTCAGCTGCACAGCCTTCAACACAGTTCACCTCGTGGTCAGCTGCAATCTTAACCGTCCAGGCCTACATTCAGAGAATAGATTTTTAGTAAATTGCAAAGCATTTTGGATCCTGTTACATGAAAATGTTTATGTAAGGCAGGCCTCGTTTCTTAAAATGTTTTGATCCCAAACAGATTTTAAGCTGCTGCCTTTTTTTGATGTTTTTATAGTATTCAGTGTTACAAATGAGAAAGAATTAGCTATAGGTTTTTCAGCCATTTGGTCTATTAGTTGTGATACTGGCAATTATTTTACAGTGAAAAATCACTGTCTTCTGTTATCCTCCTCCCACACATTCTCCATGGAAACAAACACCTTTCATGATCCAGGAAAGGCCACATCACTTTAAACATAACACAAAATAATATCCTTGAGATTTTCGCTTTGGCCTTGTTAGAAAGGAGACTTCTATTCAGAATCTCTCTAGTCAAGAGGCTGCAGGAAGAAAATGAATGAGAGAAGATGATTTCGGAGGTTTATTCACGTCTCTCAAAATGTAGAAATTGTATATTAAATTTGACTTTGTGGTCCATAAATAAAGAATATTTTGATATTTAGTTATGTGAATGCTTGAATTCTTGATAATGAAGATAGTTCAGTTACTTGTGACTATACATATATATATAGAGGCAGGACTTAGAATTCCTGCCTCTCATCTTGCAATAGGGGAAATATTTGTTACTTTGCAGAAAAGGACAGTGTTCTCTTGCTTTTCTTGTAACTAAAGTCTGATACCATACGCCTCAGTTCCAACAGTGCAGAACATTGCTTCTCACAACATAAGGGGAATGTTTTCTTCTGATTCGCATGTTCAGAAGAATAGTCTTCCTGCCACTTTTATGCCTCTCCAACTGATGAGATTTGGATAGACAGATCTATGTAGGAATGGTGACTTAGAGTAGCTGTAATTGTATCTTGGGAGCAGTTTCAGTTTTTTCTTTCAGAATATCAAAATGGGACAAAAGTAGATGTTGATATATCTTTATAATCATAAATTTTATCAAGGTTTGAGTTGGATTCTGTAATCCCGGAAGATCAGGAAAAGAAAAGTCTTTGGAATGTGAGGGTTTATTTTAACATTTGTGAAGCTTTTTATTGAAGAATACACTGAATAGAATTAATGAGGTTCATTGTAAGTTCATGGATATTTCAGGGAATTATAAATATGTTCTTTCACCAGTACTGCACAGGAAGCTATGCTYTCACTGAATTAAGTGTTTACTTCTGACAATCTGAAACTAATAAGCTTCAAAAGTACTTCAGAAACAGTAAATTAATGTGATTCCTGAGGATATTTGCCTAAGACCCCATAAGAAGTTCAGAGGATTTCTTGTCTCGTAGTAAAACATAACTTTTTTCTCTCTCTAGACCTCTGCTTTAATCATTACATCCTGTTAGGGTTTCCTACACATTTGGAGCAGCAGTCTCTAAAATGCATTCTAAATGTCATTACTAGGTGATCAAAAACAGCAAAACAAACGTGCCTGAACTAGAGTTATTTCCTCGCTATCTGCTCTTTCTGAGACAGCAGCCTGCGACCCGAACGCAGCAGTCAAACATCTGGGTGAATATGGGTATGATGAGCCTGAGAATGTTTCCTCACCATTTACCTAGAGGTAACTTAAGAATGCAGCAAGAATACTGAGTGAGCAGTTTCTGAGAAAGCGAGATCCAGCACTGTAGAAGCTTGCTGCCACTGTGCTTATACCCCGGCTAAGCAACTGTAAGRTGCAATCAGCTTTTTGTTTAAAAAATAAAATAATATTAATAATTAAAGGCTTTCTTCCTATCTCCTTTTGGAAGGAGGATGTAGGGAGGAGTGGCATTGGTGAAACCAGTTAAGTTGCATGGTTACTACAAATTGGTTAGTTGGAAGTGAGAAGTGTGCAYGCATGAAAGAGTCAGCTGAAAAGAGCAAATCTTATCATGCCTGTAGGTATTGTGTAACATACATGCATCTGTATGTTGGGGTGTGTCTATATGTGTGTGTGTATATATCTATATACATACCTATATATATATGCCTCAAATTATTCAAAGCTCTTTAGGAGGAGATTGAATTAGTGGAATGTGAACATTATTACTTGATGCAGTTTGCAAAAATAAACACTGCAGATTTGGAAAATATAAACATCCAACTAAACTGTGCCATAATTGCAGAGTTTCTACTCAGCAAGCATGTGCAAGTCATGAGTTATAGAATAATGTGTAGCTTGTAGCTTTTCGCCCATTCAGTTGAAAAAGGTGTTGCAGGGACTTGTTTTCAGTTACCACTTGTGTGCACAATTGCATACTTGGCTTGTGCAGTGGCTCTAAGGAAGTTCCTGATTTTCATATGCATGTGTGGTTTACATACACACAGATTAGATGCCCAGGGTGCCCTATATCCAGAAATAGGCTCACTTGCCTGCTGTGAATTAAATTCTAGAGGCTTGCTAGTGTTAGTGTGGGTTTAAAATATCATGCAGATGCTTGATTTTTTTCATTGCTTTGATAGCATCTCATACCTAATGTGCAGATAGTGGCTGCCTGCTTGATCAAGTTCCGCTACAGAAACTGCCTGCTACCCAAATTCATTTTTCCTACTTTGCCAAGTACAATCAATAGAAACTGCTTTGTTTGGACGTCCTAAAATGGCCAAATTCAAATTAAGGAGATCTTCCGACATACCAAATTTGATCTTGATTTGGAATTTTGCTCTGCACTAATTCATTTGTCCAATCAATTATTAATCTTTTTGAGTTTTTTTTCAAATGTGCTTTCTTGCTGTAATCTTACAACTAATCCTCTGATCCTTAATCTTAGAAAAAGCTTTTTGATGGTCTTTAAAAAATTAGTCATTTGCCTGGTATCCTGAAGCAAAACTGATGCTTTGCTTTGCTTACTTTTAAGATGATTAAAGAAAAGTTTTACTTTTCTGTTAGATTGCATGTAATATTGTGTCTTTTCATGTGATACCATTTAATTTGTTTTAAACTTTTGATGACAAAAGTAGAATGATACTTCTGTGGTTACTTAGATTAATGTAATTGCCCAGTCAGACTTCTCTGTATAACAGAAGCTTTTTCATAAATGTATTAATGTTTTCTATAGGAGGTGGGAGCTTCCTCAGTCTAAACTGAAGAAGCTCAGAAAAGTAAAAGATATGAACGTATCTAAGAGAAAAACATACAAGTTTGTTAATCAGACAATTCTGTTAAAATATTCTGTTAAGTGACTTAYTTCACATGAGAATCTTAATAGATAAATTTATTTTATCTGCTATTAATATATAAATATGAATATAATATAGAATTATTCTGCTTTGTCATGACTAGAGTAGGAGATAGCAAGTTATTGTGTTGATRTGAGGTATCCGAAAGGGTTACTAACAACTAGGTTTCAATCTAACCCGTGTTTTTGTCCATAAATAAAAGGAGCAGAACTGTATACTTCTTTTTTCACAAAAAGTGCTTAGCCCAGTAGGCTTAAGAGGTTCTTAGTGACCATTTTTTTGTTTCACTCTGCATATGGGCACGCAGATTATGATGTCTACTTCTTTTTCCTCTGGTTGTAAATCCAGGGAACGTACCTTCACCTAATGCTCCTTTAAAGAGAGTSTTGGCTTATACTGGCTGCTTTAGTCGAATGCAAACTGTTAAAGAGATACATGAATATCTCTCTCAGCGGCTACGTATAAAAGAGGAGGATATGCGCCTCTGGTTGTACAACAGTGAGGTAAGGGCAATGTGTGGGGGGGGGTTGTTTCATGTTTTTTGTATTGTAAATCTATATTCTTTTACATAACACCCATACAGCCAAAATAATGAAGTATGAGTTTCTTATGTAACTTAAAAACATGGGTTGAAATGTTTACTTAAAATGTTTAAGTAAAGATTTGAGTCTTGCCATAGATCAGCAGTGCATTCGAGTATGCAATAGTGTGCAAGTGTACTAAGGGATTTTTTTAGCTTGGTTTTGCCYGTACTCTTGGATGAGCAGGCTGATGCTAAACTACTGCAAGTGCAGTAAGTTTAAATATTACAGAGGCACTTGAATAGGTTAGGAGGACTCAGGAGAACTAATTGCAATAAAAAAGCCGAGTATATTCCTCCAGATTGTGAAGTGCTTTGAAAAACACCCTTTGATTATAAAACTGTCATGTTCAGAGCTGTAGTTTCAAAAAGAGTGTTTTATACCCCTTTTTGTCTCAAAATTTCCTGATTCATCTAGTATACCTTCTAAATGTATTTTTCTCWTTCTAAAGAAATAACTTTATAAACATGTAAATGTATGTCCCTAAAATGAAACTTAGGAATTGACATAGAAGCTTCTACAGATTACGGTTAACTGCTGTTTAACTGACATAGGTAGGAAACAGATAGTTTTACACATGAAGAAATTGCAAACACTATTTTAATTTTGTTGCTTTGAGATTAAATTGTCCTCAGAAAATTTTAAATCTAGAAATACTTTTATATGAAATATTTTTGTCCTGCAGAACTATCTTACTTTGCTGGATGATGAAGATCACAGATTAGAGTATCTTAAGATCCAGGATGAGCAGCATTTGGTAATAGAAGGTATGAAAGAGGCTCATAGGGTAGTCTATGCATTAAAACAAGTACAGTTTTATATGACTATGTATGTGCTTAACAAATAATGCATATGTACGGCAAATGCCTATTTTACATAAGTACTAAATCCTGTACTGGTTTCAGTCCAAACAGATTGATATTTTTAAACTTCTATTACAAATTGATTTATTTTACACATGGAAAGAATCGACACTTTTGAACTTGACTGCTTGGTGACTGTCTTTATGGTGAAAAAGTCGTTCCTTCTAAAGTYTTTCCTTCTGTACAGTCCTTTTCTCCTTTCAGCTTAGGCCTGTGTCACTCATTCCCCCCTGTGCACTGTTGTGCTAGGCAGTACAGTTAATCACACATCAAATAGGCCTTTGTCAAAGGCAGAAGGGTGCTCAGATCAGCTGACTTTTCATCTAGTTTGACCAGACTTTTGTCTAATTTGGAAACACTATTGCGTATACTTTATTCCTTCTATTATTGCACTTACATTGCAGAGACTTTGCTCATTTTAAAAATGGGGAAAATAAATATTTAGAGGAAATACACAAAATGGATTTTGTGCTGCTTTTGAGCAGCAGCTACAAGCCTCACTTGGTGTGATTTTTATTTTATGCCTCAAGCTGGTGTGCTGAATGATATGGCCATTTGGTTCAGTTCATATTTAATCAATTTAAATTCGACTGGTCCAACTTACCCTTATACTGTATTTCTTTCTAGTTCGAAACAAAGACATGAGCTGGCCAGAGGAGATGTCTTTCATAGCAAATAGCAGTAAAATAGACAGACATAAAGGTAAGGGTTTCGGCACAGTGACTGAATTATGATGAGAAGAAAAATTAAGAGGGTATATTATGTTGAAATAATTATTTTTAATGTAAGCGTTCTTAACATTGAAAGAGGTCCTTTATGCTGTTACTACTTTGCTGCTTCTTTCTGTGTTATTAACTTAAATGCTGGAAAAGTGTGAGGGTTGCACTGGTATAGCAATAGAACAGTAAAAAATGTAATTTAACAAATTATAGTTTTTGTGTTTGCTGTTTTCCTTTTTTTCTCCTTGTCTCTTTTTTTTTTTTCTTTTCTTTAGGTGAGGAATAGTTAAGCTTTTACCAAATGAAAACAGAACTTGCAGTACCATAGCCTTTCACCTGAAAATTGGTCATACGGCTTGTACAGATGGCCATGTTAGATCARATCTGACAAATTTGGCTCACCTCAATTTTCACTGACTTAAGTAAAGTTGAGGGTGTGGATATTTGGAACAGAGTTGTCCTCTGTTGCCTCTGTGCAAACTGTAGTCTTGTAATTGGGAGCAGATTATATTGAGTAAGTTGCAATTGAAAGGTCATGAAGTTAGCTTTATTAAGATACCACTGTGTCTTCATTTTTCACATCTGCACAGTTGTCATAATTATATTTTCTTGCTCTCAGTTCCTACTGAAAAGGGTGCTACTGGATTAAGCAATCTGGGTAACACATGTTTCATGAACTCCAGTATCCAGTGTGTCAGTAATACCCAACCTCTAACACGATATTTCATCTCAGGAAGACATCTTTATGAACTTAACAGGTAATCTTCTATTTGAGCCCATTAGCATTTTAGTTGTGCTTGACTTTTGTAGCTAGTTTCAGCCTTCAGAAGTCGAAGCATGAATAAATTCTGTTAGGTTAGCATTAGCAACCCTTAGCTATGTAACTGGTACCAGATTGGGTTTGCCACAATATCGGTCCTTCTGTTTCTGAAAGAATTAAAGTAGTCAAGCCAGGAGCCTTTGGGCACCCTCATTTTTCCCCATGTGTGAATGTTGTTTGAATTTTAGTGTGATATTAATGACTTTGTGAATTCTAGGACAAATCCAATAGGGATGAAAGGGCACATGGCCAAATGCTATGGGGATTTGGTTCAGGAATTGTGGAGTGGAACTCAGAAGAATGTAGCACCATTAAAGCTGCGGGTGAGTTTGTAGTGTGTTTCATTTATTTATCTTTGAATACCAAAAGCTTTTTAAAGCACTCTTCTATTTTCTGGTTTAGATGTATTGTAATAATTCTGGGAAAGCCTCCTCAGTGCTATTAATTATCATATTTGCCTTAATCATATGTATAAAAGTTGAATTTTTCTTAAAATGTTTTTCTTACAGTTTTTTAAAAATGGAAATTCTAATAAAAATGTTTTTGCTCTTATTAAAATAAGTGCTCTTATTTTAAGAGTTTGGTAATTATAAAAGGGATTCATATTAAACTTGAGCATCTTTTTGAACTAAGGAACCTACGAGCCTGTCCTAGAGGCAGCCACGTYGCTGATGTTAATTATATTACATAGCTGCTAGCAGAGACTACATATTTAGGTTGTCACTTATAATTCATGGTGGTGGTTATTTGTGATTATCATTCAGCTTATCTGAGGAATTACAAGGATTGGAGGTTGGGCTTTTGAGATGTAGATTTTTGCAGCCCTTGTTAGGGACTGAAGATCATGAGTAGCCTGTAAATGGTCTTTGGTTGTGAAAGCATAGCAAGGTACCTTTAACTCTGGGAATTGCATTTATCATGGGGGTTGCCAGTGTGCATTTTTTCTACAAATTTTCATCATTTTTACAAGCTTTGTCACATAGTATTATTATTTTTTCTTTATAGTGGACAATAGCAAAATATGCTCCAAGATTTAATGGTTTCCAACAACAAGACTCACAAGAGCTGCTGGCGTTTCTTCTGGATGGCCTTCATGAGGATTTGAACAGGGTTCATGATAAGCCATACGTGGAACTGAAAGACAGTGATGGTCGACCAGACTGGGAAGTAGCAGCAGAGGTATGGGTTGAYGTGTGTTCTTCCTTTCTTCCCCCCSACTTCCTCCCTCCCTTTCTTCCTGCTTTCCCTCCCTCYCTTCCTGCTTGTAGGCACAAGGCACTCTTGTATTAGTATTGTTGTGCTGTCTTTTGAAACTGTGATTAAAGGCCTCTATTTCACCTTTGAACTGAAAATAAATTTGATTACAGATATATTTATACAGATAATATGCAGGTATAAAGATGGTACTTCCCAGTCATTTTGAATGACTCTTCTAAATGTGGAATATGAAAACTTTTTGGAATACCTGATAGTCTTTTCGGAAGCTTTTAAAATGATCTCATACCTTGGCTATTACTTTAATGGAACAAGCATTTCTTYATTAATGTTGAAACTAAATATTACCTATATATTATAAACTATTAAACAACTTCTGCAGGAACGTACTTCAGTTCTGTGGACTGATGAAGCTTTGAAGTTACTCCAACATAATCTCCTTCTGCAGTTCTAGCAAATAGTCTTCAGTTTCTAACTTGATTTTATTTTTCTGCACTTTATCCTAGGCCTGGGAAAACCATCTGAGAAGAAACAGATCCATTGTTGTAGATTTATTTCATGGGCAGCTTAAGTCACAAGTAAAATGTAAAACTTGTGGACATATAAGTGTTAGATTTGACCCTTTTAATTTTTTATCCTTGCCTTTACCAATGGATAGCTACATGCACCTAGAAATTACAGGTGAGTAGTGCTTAAATTTGTCTTTTATGAAACAAAAATCATAAATGCACAACAGATTTTTAAAGGAAAAGTCACAAAACAGATTTARAAATGGAAGAAAAGTTGTTGTTGTTATGTTTTACCTGATTTTCTGACTAAAGTATTTCTTTTCCCTTTTAAAGTAATTAAATTAGATGGTACTACTCCGGTTCGATATGGCCTGAGATTGAACATGGATGAAAAATATACAGGTCTGAAAAAACAGTTAAGTGAACTCTGTGGGCTAAAACCAGAGCAGATTCTACTTGCAGAAGTGCATAGCTCCAATATAAAGGTAAGAAGAAGGGAATTATTGGTGCTAATACAGTTTTGGTATTTCTGATGGTTAGTGTATATCAGCATATTGAACCTTTCTTTTTATCATTAGGCTTTTCCTTCAGAAGTCCTGAGACAAATTCATTGAGCATATTATTAAATTCAGCTTAGCTAATTATAAACTCTTATGTCACTTTAAAACTTCAATTTGGCTTGCCTTAAACAGGTTTAAAATTGAAGGCAATTGGACCACGTGCAAGTCACTTGTAGCCAAAATGAAAATTGACAGAGACTTGTAAAACTTCAGTTGAATTGATTACTAATGATGGGTGTAGAAAAAAATGATAAAGYCTTCTCAACATCATACGTTTCAAGTTAGAGTGCTGTAATGAATTTAAACACTAACAAGAGTCTGGAAGCGTAAGAAATTATTTAGGTTTTGTGGAGTGTGTGTAATTTATATATGTGTATATATACATACTTCATTTTGCTGCCATTGAGCAGGATTTAAACTACTTTCAGTAGTTAGAAATGGGGGACTTTCAGACTGTTCAGAGCACCATTAATAGCCTGCTCAGGTCTTGCTGCAGAGATCTGCAAAGTCATGTGGTTTTTTTATTGTGGTTGTTTTTGTTTGGATTTTTTTTTTTTTTTTGAGGGTACTTTTTTTGTGTATACATGTAAGAAATTGAATGGAATGGGAGAGATGAGATTACTGTAGAAAAAAAAAAAAAAAGAAATGTATTTGGGGTCACAGGTAAAAGAATTAAAAATACATCCATGTTTAATGAACTTTCTCATTTTTCCTGAAGAACTTTCCTCAAGACAACCAGAARGTCCGGTTGTCAGTGAGTGGATTTTTGTGTGCATTTGAAATACCAGTTCCAGGATCTCCTACATCAGCCTCAAGTCCTTTGCAGACAGGTAAATTAAAACATACTTACTTTCASATCCATTTAAAATTTACAGAACTTGGACACTGGAGAAATTCAGAAGAAAAACCTTCCTTAGTGGGTTGGGAGTAGTGAGAATTCGAGATTGGTCTCGGCTCTGATCCAGGTGGCTCCAACTGGGCCATCTCAGTAGCAYTGATGGTCTGTGATACTGTTTAGTATCATGCCCAGTGCAGGAGTTTGAAGAACACTTTTATCTATTATAATGATAATATTTTGCAAGTAATAAAGAAACAAGAAACATGCCAATTGGCTATAAGGCAGAACATAATGAAAGAGAAGCTCAACATAGTGTTAAGCTTTTGTTTCTGTTGCATTTCTTGCGGTTCCATATATGCATTGTAAAGAGCTGTCATCTCCTGTTACAACTTTGCAGAATCAGAGCTTGTAGTAGAAGRTGGGATATTGGTCTGAAGGAGAGCAAAGGGTATTTCATGAAATACGTTGGGCAGAAGGCAAGGCAGAAGGATCTTGTTTGTTGTTATCGGTTCTGGTTGCTCTAAATTATTGAGAGTAATTGTCCATCTACAGATCTCTCAACTGGGTCATCAGCTAACGGAGCACTCAACATAATGATGAATGGGGACCTTCCCAAGCCAACCCTGATTCCAAATGGAATGCCAAATACTGTAGTGCCATGTGGAACAGAGCGTAATAACCTTGCCAACTGGACCCTCAACGGTCACGTGCCCTTGCTTTCTGATAGTCCGTGTACAGGGTATATAATTGCAGTTCACAGAAAAATGGTGAGTAGATCTTGTTTGCTATAAATTGTGGGTATTTTCTCAAAGTCAGCACTGTTTTCTTTTGCGGTTCATATGATTAATCTGTAGCTCTAATAAGAGGAAATGTGAATACACATATCTCTGTTAGGCATGCGCACCGTTCTCCTTCATGGATTTAATTTGCAATGTCTAATGTTGGAATATATTTCTTTCCTCACTCTTGGCACGCTTCCCAGTTCTTTGATGCTGAGATGCATACTTCAGTGTTCATTGATTCCCTGATAAAATGTTCTGGGAGTATCTGAGCAGGACAAAAAATAGAGAAGCAATGTGACATTTGTTCTTTCCCTTTTCCCTTTCTTTTCCCCTTTTGTTTCTTACTATTTTTAATAGGTGAAGAGAGTGGAGATATATAGTACTTTCATAAACGTCCCTAGTGTAGAAGTCATTTGGGGACAGATATTAGCATCTTTCTACATTGTAAAGTTACCATGGGATGGTCAAAGTAAAAATAWATGCATCGTTTGAAATAAAATATGTACGTGGTTGAACCACATRTTTATATTGAGTGCTGATGTGGTCTAATGGCCCAATATCATAAAATACAATTATATTTTCAACCAGTTTGAAGTCAGTGATCAAAATTCAGGCTTTTTAATATTGGAAAAAAAAACCATTGAAATTGAATGCTTTTAATTGAATTAAAGTGTCTTTAATTACCAAAGACTGAAATGAGAAACAAGGTCAGCATTGTAATGTGCATGGTAATGTTAATGCATACTTACACGAGACTTAATGCATAGTTACCTATGAGTCGCTCTCTCCTTTTGCAGATGCGGACGGAGCTGTACTTCCTTTCGTCTCAGAAGAACCGTCCCAGCCTCTTTGGGATGCCGCTCATTGTTCCTTGTACTGTTCATACACGGAAAAAAGACCTGTACGATGCAGTGTGGATCCAGGTTTCCCGGCTCGCGAGCCCTCTGCCTCCTCAGGAGGCCAGTAATCATGCCCAGGACTGGTGAGTCTGCATGCCAGCCTTGCACGTGAATCACCCTCTCACAAGTGGCTTGGATTCCTTTAGAAGATGTTAAAAATGATAGTTCTTCATCTTTATCCATTTTGTGTCCTAAAAATACCTCCATGGAACGAATGTCTATTTTTTAATGTATACTAAAGATGTAAATGTCAACAGTTTTAGGAACAATTATATCTGCTTTTACTGTCTTGTGATTTAATAATGACAATGAGAGGGAGTGTAGTAGCTTTGTGAAAATAGCATGTTTTCAGATAGCTTTATAAATGAGACTCCATTTAAGAAAATGTCTTCTGTATATTTGATTCCCTTATAAAACTGTTTAAAATGTTTGCATTTTGGAGCACGAGGAGGTGCGTTTCTTCCATGGAATTCTGCTTTGCAGCTGATGATTTTAATGCTAAGTCTGACTGGTTCTATCTGCATAGCTGCTCGCAGTTGTGTTTGCTAGGGCTTAGTACTGAACAGTATGTAAATCCCCATTGGAAACACTTCAGATGTTCTTGCTCTGTCATTGTCAGACCCAATCCAAGTTAATACAGTGTGGGCTTAAATGACAGATTCTTAATGATTTAATTAAATAGTCTGAGAGCTTCACCTTTATTTGGGGACGTGTCGGTTTGTATCTGAGAGCTGCCCTTTAGCAGATTTTTCTCATTGTGACACTGAGAAGTTTTATCACAAGCTCTCCTCTCTTTTCTTGCTGTGTTAGCTCTAAAGATACAAGAGTTATTTGGTAATGTAATGATTTAATGCCTTAATTTATTTCACCACATAAAGCAATTTGAGTGACCATTTTCTAGTTGGATGTACTGCTATGGCGCCGTGATAGTGTGGCTATTGCTTAATTGATTTGTGTGATTTGTGTTAATCTTGTTTTATTATTGTTTATTATTTGGGAGGAGTAATGGGAAGGGTGGTGAAGTGTGGTCAGAAGTAAGYGGAAGTGTGAATCGGTGCTCGTGGTTCATGTTGTGTTCTCTTCCGTTTCAGTGATGACAGCATGGGGTATCAGTATCCGTTCACCCTGAGGGTAGTTCAGAAGGATGGAAACTCCTGCGCTTGGTGTCCATGGTACAGGTAAATTGTCCTTTTTATTTTAAGCACAGGAGTCACTTCAGCAGAAAGGTAGTTTATGATAATGGATTTTGATACATTTCAGACTCCAGAGGTAATCTCAAACAATGAGAGTCTGGAATCTAATTTCACTAGCACCCCCACATGGCAGACTTGCACTGCAGCATTGCTTTAATGACCTGGAGAGCTGAAAACTCAGCTGATGCAGAACTTTAAATTAGGGCTTAGATTATCAAAAGCCTCTTAATCCCTTTCGATCTTCCCCGTTCAAATGTGTAAGTATACAGGGATGTGTTTGTGTGTATTTAGATGATTTATGAGGGTTTTAGCAGACTAGTCTGTATTTAAATTATTTACCATCAGCAGTTTCTTTGCTATTTGAAAAGCGAAAACTAAAATGTACCATAAATATTTACCCTGGGAACACTCTTGGAAGTTTCTCTAAACAAGGGATATGCTAATGAAAATCCCAGACTGTTGCTGGGAGGTATTCAGACCACAGGCTCATTCCAAAAAGGTGTCTGCTGTCTGCTACAGCTAGATATATGATGTACACGAGTTACCATATTGCAGAGTACCTGTGGAGGCAAAGAACTGTAGTCATTTATTAATGTAGATCTGAGTGCTTGCACAGTTCATCACACGTAACTTTTCTTTTAGATTTTGTCGTGGTTGTAAAATTGAGTGCACAGAAGATAGAGCTTGTGTTGGGAATGCTTATATTGCTGTAGACTGGGATCCAACCGCACTCCACCTACGCTACCAGACATCACAGGAGCGGGTAAAATTACAGCCTTAAGCCTGCAGTGCTTGTTTGAATGTTAATAGCTGTGAAACACATCCCACTTTACCAAGACCAAGTTTGGAAGATACCATCCTTTTATTAATTCTTGTTTTATTTGTTTATGGCAAGCACATACTGAGTTAATCTAGAAGAACTATTGCAATTTGTGAGTTCAGTCCATAAACTAAACCAAGGACAACACATTATCTGCATGTCTGCATTTTCAAAGTTGAAATAAAAGAGCTGCTCAATTTGAGCAGCTATTTTTGGATCTTTAATCCTAAATAGCTATGTGATGTATTTCTTCTATGTTACTTTATATACAGCCATCTTTGAGCGCTTTGTGTATGTTCCCAGTCGGAGTCAGTTTAATCTCACCTTTTTAGATTGTAGAGGAACATGAAAGCGTTGAACAAAGCCGACGAGCTCAAGCAGAGCCCATCAATCTGGACAGCTGCCTGAGAGCCTTCACCAGCGAGGAGGAGCTGGGCGAGGACGAGATGTACTACTGTTCCAAATGCAAGACGCATTGTTTGGCCACCAAGAAACTGGATCTTTGGAGGCTTCCCCCTATTTTGGTATGATCTCATATGCTTTTCCTCTACAAAGTGTGAAACAAAAGTACAGGAGTCACAAATTTTAAATTCCTACATATGTTTTCGTTTTGCTTGCTAAGTAAGGTCTGTATTTAATTCTGTGCACTGTCTCAACAAGGCTACCAACATTGTTTGCATCATGTTTCTGTAATGCAGGCAGATACCTCAAAGCAAACCACAAATCCTTGGGCACCTTTTCAGGTGCTGTTGCAGCCGTTTGCTGTATTTTGCATTCACTTTGCTTTTCTCTAGCATAGAATTCACACTTTGGTAGACTGCCTTGGTAACAGTCTTAATCTTTGATCTGGTTATGCAACACCTGTGTTTGCTGCCTTTGAATCCGGTAGGTACTACATAGCACTGGTGTCTGAAATGAAGCAACTATTTTTCTGTCACCTTCCTCTGAAAATACTAGTTTCTATGTTTTATCAGCTTGCACCCGATAAGACTCAGATACGATGTTAATATTTCTTATCAATATATGATACAACCCATATATTTCCAGAACCAAAATGCCTTTTAACAGTGAAATAAGATCGTTGTGGTTTAATAGTTCTCCTTTGACTCTAACATGTTTCTCCTTAGATCATCCACCTGAAAAGATTTCAGTTTGTAAATGGCCGCTGGATAAAATCTCAGAAAATTGTTAAGTTTCCCCGAGAAAATTTTGACCCAAGTGCCTTTTTGGTGCAAAGGGATCCAAGTCATTTTCAAAGGAAACAGCCAACTCCCCATGTCGACGACCTTCCTGATGCACGGCCTCTCCAGGGGGAGTCTAGAAAAACAGATCTGCAGATCACTTGCACAGCAAGCGAAGGGGATGTGCTGAACAGGAGTCCATCTTCCCTTAACACTACTAATGTCTTGAATAATATCAAAGGTAAGTATAACTAGAGAAAATAGCACATTTGGGTAAGGGCTGGTATTTGGGGGAGAGAAAATATTCTTAGTATTGTGCTGGCTGAAGCGTGAAATTTCCCCCACTATTTGCCATGGGAAGTTTAATGAAGCATTGTCATGAAGAAATGTAGTTACTTAGTGATATTATTGGTACTGGCATTGTCTGTTCACATAAATGGACCAGATTAAGAATGAGGAACATGATTCTGCATAAGAAAAGTTCAATTACACATTATAAATGTGTGCGTGCACACACAGACAGGGCTATTTTGATGTATTATTTTCAAGTTCCAATGGAACATTGGAGCATTCTTAGTGTTTCGTTATTGGAAGAAATCTTTTATTAAAAATCTAGACTAGGTATTTATTTATCTTTCAAGTTCATATATGTCTTCTGTTCTAGCATCTCCATCTTTGGGAAGGAAGAGTGGAACCAGCTGTCCTTCAAGTAAAAACAGTAGCCCAAATAGCAGCCCAAGGACTTTAGGAAGAGGTAAAGGGCGCCTGCGGCTACCACAGCTAGGGAAAAACAAACTGTCAAATAGCAAAGAGAATTTGGATGCGAGTAAAGAGAATGGTACTGACCAGGAACAGAAACCCACTTCTGACCAGGGAGATGCTCTTACTAGAGGGCAGATTTTGGGTGGTAGCCAGAGTGAACTCTACACTGCTCAGGACACTGAGATAACTTTAGCCAACGGATACATTTGTGAGCAGAATGCATATAGCAATGGAAGTATCAATGGTCAAATTGATAGCCACAGCGAGGAAGATATTGCAGATGACCAAAGAGAAGAAGTTTGTGTTAACCCTATTTACAATCTATATGCAATTTCGGTAAGTTGACGTTTTAAACCCTTCGCAATGGCATTATTTTGACTAAATGTTTACTGTTTTCGTTACAAAAAGCAAGATTTCTAGTCAAGGAGAGCAAAGGTGAGTTGTTGTTAAAGTTGCCCTAAAACTGAATATGACTGAAAAGCCTGTCTTTGCATAATGTTTTTTTTTTTTTCTGCTTGAAGATGTAAGCTTAGTCGACTTCAGATGTTACAGGCTGTGAAGCACAACAGTCAGAATTAGAAGGTACTTTCAGGTTGTCTGAAGTTCTCTCTTGCTTTGATCAGGCACGACCCTTCTGTGCACCAACATTTGAATTATTTTTAGGATTTTTTGAGATGGGGAAAAAGGAAAACAACAACAAAATTAGAATCTGGTAGTAAAGAAAAATGATGAAAGCCTTAGAGAGATGCGAGCGGAGGCCTGGCCTTGGAGCAGCTAAGCTGAGCTGCTGGGGCCAGCACACACAGTGCTTTTGTCATACCGGGTGTGCTGCACTGCTGCTTCAGAGAGAAGAAGTGGTTTTAAGAGTGTCTGTAACCTTTAGGCATCTTTGGCAAGCATAGAATGTCACGAGCCATTGTTACTCACAGAAAGAACATGAATTTGTTATGTTATTCTGTGAATTCTGTCTGCTTTATCCAAAATTTTCTTCTTTTTTTTGTTTTCTTCAGTGCCATTCAGGAATTATGGGAGGGGGTCATTATGTTACTTATGCCAAAAACCCAAACAACAAGTGGTACTGCTACAACGACAGTAGCTGTAAGGTAAATGTTTTATTTTTGTAAGAAATACTTTTGTTTTCTTGGGTGCCTAGAATCAAAGAAATACATGTTTTTTGAGAATAATTCGTTAATACTATGGATATCTCATCTGTCTGAGATGAAGTTTAGAATTGTGGCCTCCTTTTCTTGTTACTRTGTGTTCATCAGCTGCTAATATGGGTAAGGAAAGATGCTGATTTTGTACAAAGGTGGAAAAGCTCTAAAAATGCAAGTCCAAGACTTTTTCATTTGCCARCTGTTTTGTATGCAATTACTAAATAATTAAGTTTGAGTATTTCTAACTAACTGCATTTGCCACTATAATTTTGTTATGTTTTCCGAGTAAATAACGAGGCCTGATAACTCAGATGAGGGAAACTGAGGAAATGAGCTGCTCATGGCCGTGGAGGAAAGGCTGCTCCTGGGCTCTTCACATGTTGAAGGTCAGTGGCACTTGCTCTGCTGTTTCAGGAGTCACTTCTGTCTTGCAGGAGCTGCATCCCGATGAGATCGACACCGACTCTGCCTACATTCTTTTCTACGAGCAGCAGGGGGTAGACTATGCACAATTTCTGCCAAAGATAGATGGCAAAAAGATGGCAGACACAAGCAGCATGGATGAGGATTTTGAGTCCGATTACAAGAAGTACTGTGTTCTGCAGTGAGCAGGTGACTGTTGGGAGAGGGTGCAGGGGTAACGCGCTGAAACGCGCGTTGGGCGACGGGCACTGGGAGAGAGGAGCCAAGTGTAGTTGTTGTACCTGGGATATGAAAGCACAAAAAGACAACCCTAATTAAATAGCAGTTAATATAAAGATAGTGTTGTTTTGTTCTGTTATCTCACTACATGCTCGAAACATTTCTGATGTTAGACATCAGGCTGAAACTGCCATTGGCCTTTAAATAAAATGGTTTGAGAAAAGCCGACGAGGACCAAATAAGAGCTAAATTAAATAGTCCAAATAAGAGCTAAATGGAGTAGTGTAGAGTTTACCAATTAATCTAACAAAATCCTAAGGCTGTCCTTAAATCTAAGATAATGGGGAAAAAAATTGTAGTGTTGTCTTTGGGCAACATGATATTGCTACCTCCTTTTTCCTGCGGTTTTATTGCATTTTATTGGCAAAACAAGGAAAGCAAGAGTATGAAAAGTGCACARATCTAAAGACTGAACATCAAGAATTGGAAGTGTTTCCAGTTTTGCCATCACTMATGTGTGTCAGTTGCTTTTTTCTCTGTATGTTGGGAGCACAACCAAATCATAATTTGAGAGGAGATTAATTTCTGCACTTGAATGGTTTTATTATAATTGCATTTTCTCCACACGGTGGCTGTGCAAATCAACATATTTCAGGAATAGCTTTTCGGCCTGAAGAGTGTTATCTTGGACGTTTGAGATGCCTCAACAGAGAAACTTCAGGTTGAAGAGAGTAGCTGTGGCTGTACGYATGGTGTCTTAAAATGTGCACATTGCACAAAGGGTTCCCAGCTTTTGGAAGGAAAGATGCTTGAGCTTATGTTTCGTGACTGGTGTTGCTTTTAAATTTGCACTTTTAAAAATTCATATAATTAAATTGAAAAACGTAGTTTGTTTTTGTTGTTGTAAGGGCTCTGGAGTGAATGGCTGTGAATTATCCACTGTGTATTTCAAACAGATAAGAAGCTGTGGCCGTCAGGTAGCTATCGTAGCATTCATGGATTTTTTTAAATTGATTTCATAATTTAATAGGGCTTTTTTCTTCAAATTTGGTTTGCSTTTTTCAAGATCTTTCTTGCAAGAGGTTATGCATATACTTGCAATCAAAACAGAATTGTTTTCCATGTCCTTGCAAAATGCTCTTTTAAGCTAGCAGGTTAATTGTATGAAGGAGAAGCACGACTGAGTCTCTGCAGAAACTGAGGAAAAAAAATGTTTATTTTTGAGTAGGCATTTCTTTAAATTTCAGTGTTAAATTTTTGGCATATCTGAATCAAGATAAATCATTTGCTCTTTCAACGTTTTGTTCTTCAGCTGAGTCTTAGAAGCTTACTAATTTTATCAAGACATCTTCCAAATTCTTTAGAATTTATATCTTCACTAACAAAATCTATGACTTACAATATTGATCTCTGAAGTTAATGTTTGGCTTCCTTTTACTGTGCTTTAGAGCAATGCCAAGCCTACCGGTAAGTGTATTAATTTCCAGAAAGATCTGGGATTTATCTGTCTAGGAAGTTGTCTGAGCTGGTCTTGCTGCCTTTACGCGGGCGAAGGCCTCGTTGTCTTCATCGGAGCTTGGGCCTCAATGAAGACAGCAGAGCGGTTCCAAAATAAGTATTGTCTTATCTGTGAAGTGTTGCTCCCTATCCAATATGTTCTTTTATCTTTCTCGTGGTCTAAACATTGAGTCTGAAGAAAAGCAAACATGAACTGTAAATTTCTAGGTTAGAAGCATTTTCTGTACCATTTCTCTCCTTCCCTACGCAAACTCCATGAAAAGAGAAATATTTTTCAAATGATTTACTTTAAAATGTTTTATTTAAGCAGGTAGCACAATCTACTAATGTTATTTGATCTTCTGTGTTTGTTATATTGGTTGTAATTAATTTTTTAATTAAATTAATTCATGAATTAGTAGTAAATTTATTAAGTTAACTATTAACTACATTCACTTTGTAAATTATTGTATAAAACTTATTGACAATGCACTGACTTTAGAAAGATGTTATGTACATAAATATCTTGTAAATAAAATAGTGTTGATGTACTGGAATATGAGCTGTATAAAAAAATTGGTAATTGTATATGGAGTGAACCTGTTTATCTGTAACTATATTATTCAAACAAATTAAATACTGTGGATGCACATGAAGTGTCACTTTTTGTCAGCTAATTTTTAATAGCTGTTTTTCTGCTTAAAAATTTGTTTTCACTAACTTTGAATGTATTTTAGATCCAAAAGCCTGAAAAGAAAAGTAAGTGCACCAGTTCTCTGCAGCTTGGCCAGGGCATCTCGTGGAAGAGCTGGAGGAGTGTCTCGGTACTAAATAGATATAAGTAAAAGAGAGATAGTAGATATAAAATCAAATCGTGCAGAGATTTGTATTATTTGAAGGTCTGAGGTAAAGTTTTGAGGAGAGCCTCGTAGGGGACTGAAGGCTGAGCTCTAAGTGGATGCTCGCAGCCACAGGATGGCAGCCTTGGCCGCGGCCTCGCGGGAGCCGGGAGGCCTGTGAGCACAAACCCCTTCTACCACAGGCCCGTGTTCTACACAACTTGCCCTCACAAAAAGGAAAAAAAAAGGTAAAACCTCACTTGGAATCTGTTCAGAGAGATTCTGCATTTTGTTAATGCAGGGTTTTGCCTTGCCAGGAAGAATTGTTTGTGAAATTAAAATTCTCAGAGTATAATATGAAGGAAATAGCATGTAATATTTTTGTGCTTAAGCATTTGTTTTGTTGTTGTGTTATAGTTGATAACTTGGGTATTTTAAACCCAGTGGTTTAGCTGTTTTCATCAGGTGGAAACAGCCTTCAAGATACAAATCCTACAAAAAGCATGAGGGAGTGGAAGAAAGGATACAGCTGAAGATAAATGTAATTCATAATATTCATAATAACAGGTGAAGAAATAACACATCCTTTGCTTTGGTGTAGATACTTGCTCTTCTCCAGTTACTGGTTTGCTCCGCAGAGCATTAAGCTGCAGAGCATTAAGCTGCTGCGTTGGCCAGCAGAGGAAGTTCATTCCCCTGCCTAAAGGAAGAGAGTCACGGTGGTGGTACAAGAGGTCAGAGCTTCCTCTCATTCTGTTTTGTACCCTGTTCACTCTCTAAAACCAAAGAGTAATTTGGGTCGGAATGGAGGAGGACATCCGGTCCATCTAGATGTTAAACGTACATCTCATTGCAGGTATTGTAATTGTTTCCTCTATTGTGATGTCATAAATACAGAGGGTGATTTATTTTATTATTTACCAAATCTTAAGAAATATGTTTGCCGTTTACTCAGCCAGCACTGTTTCAGCAGGTTGCTTTGGTAGAAAGTCAAAGGCAAAAATATTTATCTTTGGTTAGTCGCTAGAGGGGTAACAACTGAGACAGAGGTACGGGAATAAGAGGCCAAAATTCAACTTGCTTTTGCTTGGGGATGAGAATTTGCAGAAAAATTGCAGTTGGGAAGTGTATGCAAAGGCTTGTTCCAGAGCCTTTTTTCTCTGAAACTGCCTCCTTGCGAGAGGCCGGTTTGTGCTGTGTTGGTTGATTTGTGCCCGGTGCCGTTGCGAACGGCGTTGGTGACGTTCACGCTCAGAGCGGCCGGTCTCCAGAGCGAGCCAGACGCTGCCTTAATGTGCGTGAAGGTTTCGCTCCTGCAAGCAGCAGCTTTGAAAGGAGGATCYTCAGGGACCTGGTGCTTGGGCTTGGCATCCCAGTGTGTTCCTGCTGCCGCTTCTGCTTCTCTGAGCTCTTGCTCACGTATTTTCTTGATTGTACATCGCAGTGAGACATTTCCTCTGAGCTGTGATTGACTATGAGAATTACAAGAACTGTAATCGCCTTTTTCCCCCCCAAAAAAGGAAGTAAATCTGGTTGTTCTGGCAGCTGGACCAAAGTCCCCAGTAAGCTGTCACATTATCACCTGGCATTGTTTGTTTTCTGSATGCCTCCAAAAGGAGGGTGGTGATGGTTAGCTGGAAATGAACTATTGTTCGTGTTTTATGGCCCTTGAAGATGCTAATGGGGGAGATGCAGCCAGGGATTCGCGTGSSTCAGTGTCACTGGTGTCRCCGGTGTCACCRGGAGCTGCTGCTAGGGCCGCCGCACAGCGTTTGGGCCTCATTGCAGGAATCCGGTTAGAGACGCTCGAGTCTCTTGTTCCTTCTCAGGACTGGAAATTTAATTTAAATCAGAGAACGTGGTACAATTGCTGCATCTTGAATTTCCCCTCCTGAGGCTCTCGGGTATTGAAAATAAAACAATGAAGCTTCCAGGGTGCAGCGTGTACGGGCCCTGCCACCGCAAGGCTCCTAAAAGCCCAAAGCAGAGGCGCTTTGATCTGTGTTCGTTGTTGGCATCGGGTGTGGAGGTGCAGGGAAGGCAGAAGGCTGCCGTGTCTCTATTAATTTCAGGTTTTGTTACTCTTTTTTTCCCCCTCCCTTAGGTTCAGTAAATACAAGCAAGAAGGTGGTAAAACGCAGCCTTCCGTGCTTGCTGATTTATCATTTCAGGAAAATAAAAACCTAACAGAACCTTGGAAGATTATTCCTTTTGTTTGGGACAAGCCTCCAACTTTCTTGTTCATGTGTAAAAGATTTCCTGTTCCTGAAAATGAAAAGCAATGTTTGTTAAGGGCTATTTAGCAAAAGCAGCCACAAACTGGAGATAACGTTCAGAGCATTTATAGATCAATGTAGATCCATATTTTTAACATACTTAGAGAATCCAGAAACTCTGCACCCGCTGGTAGTTGCCTTTAAATCTTATTGCTGACAAAATAAGAAACCAAAATGGATAAGATCCCGTCTTTTTACTTCTTTTTATCCATGCAAACTCCCTGAAGGTTCGTGAGGTTTAGGGGAGATTAAATGCTGCTCATCTCAAAGACCTTATTAGCAGTTTCCCTGCGTTTTGTAATTGAGATCTTCTGTCTGTGCAGGCTGAACCAGCAGGCGCTGGAAGTCAACAGGTCAGGGCATACCCAGGGGATCGGGCTGCGTTCTCATACAGTTCTTGTTCTACGGGCACAGTTAATAATGACTATAATAATAATGTTAAGCTTCAGTTAATGATTTTCCTTTAATGCAGTCATTGGCAGCAGTTGCATCTACATCTGGGGTGGTTGTGTTGWTGCTGAGGAAACAGGTATCTTTGATAAAACTAAGATAAATGGCCTAATATTCACCCTGGTGAGAAGTGCCCAGGTAACAAAAGAATGCACAGACCCTCGGGCTAAAAATAAGTAAATGACCAAGAGTGAGAGGTGTGCTGGTTAGCAACATCACTAGGGTTTGTGTATGAATAGGAAGTGGGAGGGGGTGGAAAAGATCCCTGCGAAAGGGTGGATCTGGGTGGAAAAGGGGCTAGATCCCTGTGTGGAAAAGGGGCTAGATCCCTGTTCGGGAGGTCCGGGGTGGAGGGGACTCCCGGGAGCCCCTCGGAGCTGCCCCTCCATAGGGTCCTGCTGGAGACAGGAGCGGGGAGGAACACGGTGTTAAATCCAGCTGCYGCTTTCCCTTAGGGTCCCTGCAGACCAATCTGTAACGCTTAAGTGCTTCCTTTCAATGCATTGAGATATATACCTTGCTGCTTATTTTCTCTCTTTCTAATTAATATTATGTRGCCTTTCATCCAAGTTATTGCTTAGTTGCCTGCCAGCTGTTGTGGTCAGTGAGGGGGTTCAGATGGTTTAGAGGAACCGAGTGCCTCTTTTCCGCTGTTAGCAGCGCCGTGCGTAACGTGGAGCAGCAGTGCCCGAAAACGGTCGGGTTCTGATGTAGTTCTTAAATTTTAGAGGTTRTGACACGATCCAGCTATTGGTATCTTCGAGTCCCCACTGCTTGTGGGGGGGGCTCATGTCCTTCATCCCCCGTTAAAAACCCACAGCCAGGTGCTCCGCAGCCCCTGCCGGGATTTGCCTGACCCCTGAAAATGCCGGAATCCTGGCACTAGGTTGAGCAATAGCATTTATCTYGGTGCTGTTGAAATTACTTTTTTCRGTGGYATTTTTTTATGGGGTGCAAAGTACAAGTGAAACAGTTTATAGAGTTCAGCTGTGACACCTGTGCACTCCAGTTTCTAAAAATAATACATCTGAGCATTACGACTTGAGGCCTTTTTTTTTGGTTAGCTGTTGAATTGTGTGCGAYGTGCTGAAATATCTGCTTTCCTCCCTTGCAGAAAGGCCGAAGCCCAGGGGAGCTCCCGGGGCCACCAAGGCAGATTCCGCTTTTTCTTGTGAAAATTGCATTTCCCTTCAGCACCCCCGAGCCTTTCGCCTTGAGTAAGGTACCAGCAGCCTTCCCACGGACAGCAATGTGTGGTATAGACTTAATAGAAATGAAATAGTAACTTAATGTGTAGAATTATTCTATCATAAAATAATTCAGGTTGGGAGAAACGTCATCACCTACTCCAGCCTCTGCTCAAAGCAGTGGCATTTAACTCAGGCAGGCTCTAATATGTGCAGATYGAGTTGATTGCAAAAAATAAGATACTTTTTTCCCTGAAATACTTTACTTTTTGTTTGCCAGCATGTTGCCACAGCAAGAGCCATCTAAAGTAGATTTTCTTACAGATATTGTGTGCAAATCCATATCTTCTGACTTGCCTATAGCTTTTTTTTTTCCTGAGAATATCTTGCAATTTGTATTATCTTTCTGCAATCCCTCTGAGGTTTTTTGATCAAAATGAGGTGCAAGCAGTGAACTACATTGGCAAGAAATAAATTGGAGGGGTGGTGGATTATTTAACTCACCTGCTTAAAGCTTGCGAGAGATGATACAGAAGGGACTGTGTC